TAGAATATCACCAAACATAAAAGACGCTTTCAAACACTCACAAAAAGAGATTCTGGTCGGTGATTGTCACTTATGTCTTTTAGGAATTTTCTTTTTCTTTTTATGGAAATTAGATTAGTGTGTCACATAACCTGCTCTAAAAATGTGGTTATAGCAACACTTGCTTCCATAAAACACAAAGCAGAGTGTGAACATGGCCTGAAGGTTGGTTCATGCTTCATGGTTGAATGCACACGACATCCAAACTGTCCCAAGGCATCCGCTAACCATGAAAGAAGCATGCATCTGAGTAGATTTAACTTCATGTTAAACTGAGCTCATTTCTATTCCTGATATTATTTCTAGCATCATGAATAATCTCAGTGTGAAACAACAAACGTGTATGACATCATAAAATTAATCTTTGGTATAAATTAGCCTATCAGAGAAAGTCAACATGTGATGTGTGAGTGATGGACCCGTCTTTTCTTATCGGGGGAATGTGGAGAGCTGGAATTTCCAGTTCTGAGGCGCATGAAGCATGAACCAGCATTAACAGGAGTAACTCACGACCAGGTTAATACAGGACAGATATCTGAATCAGTTTGAGGTTTGCTGGGAAACTCACGCAAGACTTTAGTCTGTGTTTCGAAGGGGTCATTGCCTGGGGTCATTCTGATGATAGTCGGAGGGGTGGGTTTAACAACTGTGGATCCGACAAAAGACAGATGAAGTGGACAGAGTTTAGGAAGGAATGGAAGATGTTGAACTTGAGTCCTGATGTTTCTGTCTTCACCGAACGGAGGGAAGATTTCTCTACGTTGGTCTATCGCTTATTGTTACTGTTAGCAGGGAGAGAGATGGGTTTCCCTCACTGTGACAGATGAAGTACGTGAAGTACCATTAGCAAATGTTTGAGTTTCAACAACGACATAAGAGGTTATGTCAGGATTACACAAAAACTACAGAACACATATCCACGAAACTTGGTGGAAGGATGGGACATGGGCCAAGAAAGAGCCCATTACATTTACACCATGACAAATGGGTGGATCCAGGAATTTATTTTCACTTTCTTTAGCAATTTTAATTAAATGAAAATAATTCATGAATCTTGATGAAAAAAATCTGAGCGTGTTATGAGTCTGTGTGAAATTTGGTGCAGATCCAAGTAGAAATCCGGATCAAGCAGATTTGAATGTGTTTACGTAAGGGGACTGTTAGGCCTTGGCGGAGGTGTGTGTCCTACTTTGTGCGATTCTAGTATCGAATGTGTGTTTACCGGGCACACGAGGACTGCTGGTGGTGGTAGGAGCCTGCACGGTGGTCGTTGTCTCTGGTGGCCTCTCCTGATTGAAGGAGTGAATCAGATCTTACAACAGCTAAAATTAACCAGACATTATCATCACATTAACAACAATAAAACGAGGTCTTACCGGCCGCTTCGGCTCTGGAGGGAAAAAAGACAGAGACCCATAGAGAGTATTACAATTGTGTACTCGCATGAACCATACGAAAGAACGACAAGCAGAAAAATGATTGATACCTTAGAGAAATCCTGAGCAGGAAAATGTTTTGACTCACCCTCTTTCTCATGCTTGGGGGGGAAGATGGGGGGGAAAGCCACGGTCTCTCTAATGTTCAGGAGGGAGTAGCCTTTCCCAGCAGGGCAGATCTTACTGAAGGCCACTGAGCACCACATGGAGAAAGGGAAGAGAGTTTCCCAGTTAGTCCACATACTGCAAAAATCTTTTGATATTTGACTGACAACAGCACATACAGTGGATTGTATATATGAACGTATAAACATCCTGTACAATCACTTTGCATTGAATAGAAATACAAACACTTCTACATCTCATTAAAACTTATGACGATAGAACATAACTATAGTGTATTAGGCTAAAATACAGAACATGGCTGATTGCTGCATCCCAGTGTATGATCATGATAATTAAATATAGACATAATACATAATCACAAAATGATCTTAAAAAGATATTAAGCTTAAGTTTAAGTGTCATCACTATATTTTATTTTATTTTTATACTATATTTATTTTCTACATCTAAAACTAAACTCAATATATTCTAATAAAATCGTTATTTAATATTAAGCTTCAAACGGGAGAAATAATGTGATCAGAGTCAGAAACCACTTTCTTTTTAGGAGGGTTGTGTTACTGCATTTATTTTCTACTGTTTTCTCAGTCTGATTTTGGTCTGTAACATTTATCTAGTGTGTTAATTTATGATTATTAGAAAAATACTCTAATCGTCTCTCTCTCTGTTAATATGCAGCGGGTCACGACTATGAGTAACACACATCATGAACTGCAACACATTTTACTGAACATGTCATTGAAAATCATTGGGGTCTACAACTGCTCCTCTCAGTCTCCATCCACTCACCTGTGCCCACCTGAGGACATCTTTCACAGTTGCGGCCCCAGGCTTTGCCCACCGTGCAGCAGCACATCTCCTGGGTAAGGTGGGTTGTCACCGCGTGCTCGCAGCCCCTGGCCTCGGACGCCATCAGGAAGCACTGAGCCTGCTCAGCTGGAGACTCTGACAGAGGAGGGTTTTAACAGGGTTTGATTTTGGTGAATGATCCCGACTTAGGAGATGAACAATCCAGTTTTTAAAAGGGCAGTTTAATTTAAAAGTCATTGGAGGTGGTGCTCTGTGAAAAAAGACCCAGAAAGCGCTCTCACTCACCAACACACCGATGCCTGTCCAGCACCAAACCAGCCTTACAGGAACATTTGAAGCTGCCCAGTGTGTTCAGACAGTCTCCATTCTGACAGACGCCCTGCATGGAGCACTCGTTGATGTCTTCAAGTGCAGGAGATAGGGTGTAAAAAATAAATATGTTATTTATACTAATATACTGCCAAAGAATTTATATAGTTTTTATGTTTCATATGGGAACTGTAATTACATTAAAATTAGCTAAGTTTAAAAAAAAAAAAACACTTAAACTGAGCTCTTAGGTCTAATTTGTCCTCCTTGTTGTAAAATGTTACCTTGACAGTGAGTGCTGTTGAATCTTTTATAGCCTTGTGGACAGGTTGAGCCATACTCTTCTACAATTGTCTGTTTGACTGATGCATCTGAGGGAAGAGAAGACATGGAAAAATCCAGAGATATGACCCCAGCATAAGTAAAATGAAGTAGAGCAGCTGACAGATGATACAAACTAAAATATAACTGTAAAAACCCTATCCTGGATATTTTGGCTTTATTTTCGTGCAACAGGAGGACGTGGAGATGCGTCTTCCATCATTATACTCAGTCTATGTATGAGAACTCATCATCTAACTCTCTGCCAGCATGAAGTTAAGCCTGTATTCCAAACTCTAAAATCTTTTAACACTTCTCTTCTTTTCTAATGACAGCTGTTTTTAATGAGGCCTATAATCAAGTGTAGCTTGTCACAGAATAGACAGAAAATGTCTTTCATGAGGTTTTGACTCATAACAATACATGATTCTTCCCCTGCAGGAGTCTTAAACCTCCAACACAGAGGAATGTCCAATTTTCCATGAGGGAGTACAAACATGTAAGGCCGTTTTATTAGAGAGCTGCGGGAAGATGGCACTCACACAAACATTTTGGAAACAGGCGATGAAACAACAGCTTACTTTTGTTCATTTAGATGAATGGATATAAATGTAACAAAACAGGCAGCGATCTGGGCAGGAATCCAATTATCTAAAGACTAACCAGACACACAGTATCAGGTATTTTTTGTCAAAGGAGGTATTGTCTGAGTCAGAACTGAGAGGCGGAATAATAGCAGAGTGGAAAAAACAGGAGCAGCCAACTTTTTTCTTGAAATCCAATCTTCAGCAGTGTGATGACAGTCGTGCACTGGGCAGGCCCATAGGAACATGCTTAAGTAGAGGGTTATTTTCCACATTCTGTTTTTCTGTCTCACTGTCTGTGTGTAATTCCCGTAATTTCTTCCGTTTTTTTTTCCCTCCCCAACGTTTGACACACTCCCTCACCCACTTCACCACTAACTTTCATGTACACACTCAAACACTTTTTTATAGAAGTATAAAGTGATTGTTTTAATTGTAGGGGCCATCATCTTAAATTGGTGGGGATGCTTGACATTTTCGGCTCAATAAACAATCATTTGTTTCCAGGGACACACAGGATGTAGATCGGATGATAGACATTTAATGATTACTGTGAGAAAACAATTAGTTTGCACTCACACATCTGAATATAAGCACAAGTAAACAAAGAGAGAAGTCCATCAACAAAGAGCAGAGGAGAATTCTTGAAGTGCACTCTCACTCACTTGGTAGTTTTGGGCACTGATAACACTTGTTTTGGCCCCATGAATTCCCCACACTGCCGCAGCAATCTTCCTGATTGGTCAGAACAGGAAGTGGGGTGCTGTTGCACTAAAAAGGACAAGATGGAGAAATATTAATGCTGGAAATACAGACGATGAATAAAGTTTGCTCGCAACTAAACTCACGGCTTGTTTGGGCGTGGTCTCCTGGAAGCAGCGCCCCTTTGGTTTGTGTCTCGGGGGGAGCGGGCGCGGCCCTGTCTTGTGAGGAGGCTTGATGTCTGATTGGTCGAGAGGTTGAATGACCACAGACGTGTCCGGTGTGTGGTGAACACGCACGTTAATCTGCACTGGAAATAGAGAAAAGGTAGAAATCAGAGAAATGAAGCGTGTCACAAAACTGATTTTCACTTTCACTCAAACCAACCAGGGATAGAGGATAAGTACCTTCAGATGAGTGGTGCCCTACTTGTGAAAAAGGCAGGGTGAAAACCGAGTGTGTTTGCGTCAACTGGGTCCGCCCTATGCCTGACTGCTCCACCAGTTTGTGGCCGTCTGGCTTCAGAGATATGGGGTAGACGGGCTGCTTGTTGCCTCGCGCTGCCTGTGCTTGCTGCGTCTGCTGGAGTGGAAACTGGCAGAGCCGACCGGTGAAGCCTGGCGGGCAGAGGCAGTGTTTCCTCGAGCTGCATATTCCTCCGTTCATACACGTCAGGGGACACACAACTATGGAGAAAAAGAAAGGAGGAGAGATGTCAAACCAAGATGTGCAGAGATTCCCACCAGTCGACGGTTCATCGCTATGAATCACATCAGATGAGAGGAAAAACACAAGCACATAATAACAGAGGGAAACAGCTGATTTAAAGTCTTTACTTCAGAGGGGTTCAGATGTTCACATGAGCGGCCTCATGATTTAGCTTTATATAACAGAAATATGGCAGACAGACAGAAAAGTTGCATGAGCAGAGCTACATAAAATTTTAACTCTGAGCTGAATCGTTGCAAAAGTCACACCAGCATGACGGACTAACAGTCGGCAGCCGATTCTGAGCAGGAGCGCAGGTAAAGTCACTAATCTGTTTGACAGCCTCAGTTCCACATATGGGAAAGATCTCAAAATCTATGAGAAAGCCGCTGGCTGGAGACAAGTTCACGGCATATACTGTATTCATTGCAGTTTTATTAGGTCTCCCATTGTGTTTATTTTAAGTCCAGTTGGTTTTGAAATGTGCACAATAGAACAATTATAGGAAAGAGAGAGAAAGAGAGAGAAAGAGAGAGCAAGGTTGTGTGGAAAAGTAAGCTATGCATCCAAGGATCGGAGAGAAAACTGAGCAGCAACAGGACTACTGGACAGCTAAGCTAGAGTCATTTAGCCAAGAAAAACCAACCAATATCCTGGAGTTTCAGCATTCAAGCCAAAAATATGTTTTTGATCTTATTTGCAAGTTTAAGCATGTATAGTATGAGCATATGTTTCCTCAAAAAACTTATTTGATCAAATAGCCATACTCCTGAAATGAAAATACAAAGTGGAGAATAAATCAATAACTTTATTTCAAACACTAAATATATAAATAAATCTAAAAGGAAAGGTTGAGTGATTGGTCAGAAATTGATCTGCAACATTTTTTGGCTCTGAGAAGTTGACAGGTAACCACTGTGAAAATGGCAGATATGAGTTTGGTGAATAGAATAACTAAGCATAGGCTATTTCTCATAATCCTGAAATATTCCTTTTCTGATTTCTCTGATAACATCTAAGTCTATCAAGTCTATGTAAGTCAATCTCATTACACTCATTCATTGAAATGTTCCTCCAGCACATGCCTTCTACAACTACCTGTTAAGTGTCAGGTGTTACAGCCTTTCCTCATGTTCATCAACTCACATACATCAACTCAGCAACATCGTAATCCAACACAATCCAGTATTCCAAATAGAATAGCAAAACACAGGCTAGTTTAGAAGAGAAAGCATGACTCAGCCATTAAGTATTTTTAACAACAATGTGACATAACTACACTTGCAAGTAAACACAAGAATGCTCTGTGCAATTGATTATTACAAGTGCAGTGTTTGTTGGGCCTGTGGTGATGCTGGCTGCAGCTTTTCTCCCTGAAACTGTAAAAGTGATCTCCAGTAAATTAGCCGCTGCAAGTAAAGACCTGCTGCTGAACTGAGTCCACAGAACCCTGAAGCTGAACCACAGATGCTGCACAAAGAGCTGTTAATCCGTTTATTGAAGTTTGATGAAGCTTGACTGGGTAACACAGAAGCCTGAACTGGAGAATCAGCTATAAGTTTATCAATATTGAATATTATTAGCTTTGTTAATGAAAATTAAGAGTTACATATTTTGGTTACACCTTGCTGCCCTTTGGAGACACCAAAACTATAACATTGACCTGTTGAGATCCTTTGAGCACTTTTAAGACCCACACAAACTCTTCACAAAAGTAAAAATCCAAGCTTGAGTTTAGATATAGAAAATATCCAATGGTTGCATAGGAACAGAGAGGAGAGGAGAGCAGGCCTCTTTCTTCTGCTGAGCCAAGTGTGCACACATGGAAGTAATTAGGAGCGCACTGCCAGGGAGTCTGGGCTGTGGCGTAATTAGGGGACTAGATCACTTTAAACACAGCAGGGACATCCTCACATAGTGAAAGTCAGGCAGAAAAATGAAAGGACATCAATAGAGCAGCCAACTCAGAATTTCATATCTGAGGTGAGATGAAGCTACAACCACCATAAACATGTGACAATGATCTTTAACTACCTGGAAGAAGTGCAGGCAACACCACGTTGATGAGTGGCACACCGGAGAAAAGACCACTCAACTTTGTCCGACTTTCTTCTGACATACACTGAAAGAATTTTTCGTGGCTCCAATTTCGTCCCAGCTCTGGATTTAGAATGAGAGGAAACTGGGAGAAAGACGCGGGGGTTGAAAATTGGAATTGCAGACGCGGGGAGACAGGAAAAGAACCTCTTTCCAAATGTGATTACACAATCTAAAACCCACAGAGAGCGGAGAGATGATGCAGGGAAAGTCTGGGCTGAGGCCTCGTCTGGGTGGGAAGGTGTCTGAATGAGAGCGGGTACTCTGACTTAGCATGGTCAGGGTCAATGCCACAATAATGAAACTCCGACCGAACGAGGAGTCGTGTTACACTTTTCGGGTAATGTTCCTTGGGGAGGGACAGGGGTGGGGGTCATGTGAAGGAAACCGTTTGATGTTAAAATGAGCCCCATGTAATGCCATACAACACACAGTGCCAAGTACAATACGCAAGCTGTCAACAAATCTCCTTCTACAGTCGTGACAGGGTTATTCCTTTGTCAAAGAACTTCCATAAAGATGTTTGGCTCAAGAGTTGACCAGGTGTTGTCTAGACCAAAATGATTTACATGAATTATTCAAACCCAGCCCAGAAAGGAGTGATTTCTGCTTAGACAAAATCACATATTCAAAGGCTGGAGAAGAAAAGGAAAGAGGAAAGAGAGGGAAAAGAGTTATAATGCTCTCTTCTACCCGCATTTAAAAAGTATATTATTTTGTGCGAGGTAGCAAGAGGTCATTGCTAGGAAACACTGACTTTCATATTCACATTAAAAGGGCAATGTGGACCAGTCAAAACAATATCAAACCTTATTCATATAGCATCTTGTACAGGCAGACCTGATAAGACTGATAAGACGTTGACTTGTTTATCTTTTCTGTGTGCAGTTGTCAGATGTCAGCCATTTGTAACTTATGTAACATGATTTATACAGCCACTGATTTTATTAAAACGGTATTAGAGCCCCAGTAAAAGGAAGTATGGATGAATAGATGGGTGGTTTGGATGGATGGGTGGACCTACTTGTAATGAAAAATGCTATAATAACTAGAATGGCTCTTGGTAGAGTGCACCTCCACCAAGGCCCAACCGTCCTTGAACTAAGCTGCACTCAGATTTTTGTTCCTTCAACACGACTTTTTTTTCCATCAAAATACAAGAATTATTCCCTTGGAAAAGTATGAAAAAGCTTGCATATTAAAGAAAGTCAAACATCATCCATGGATCTGCCCCCTGATTTGCACCCATTTAGTAGTTTTTGCATAATCTTGCTTAAAATTAAACAAACCAACCAACAAACAAATGGACAGGGTGGCCTGTCCCAACTCAACACTTAGCCCTACTTGGTCCTAGCCTTTCGCTTTGCACGTGGCCGTTAAGGGGAAGTTATCCAATTTCTCTATGTGTTATAGGGGTAGTGGCCATCTAGCCCTTCAAACATCCCTTCAACAATTGTGTATTCAGGATCCCGCCCTAAAAACAAAGTGGTAATTCCCGAATGCTTTATGAACAGTGACTGCTGTGGGCAAATTGCTCATAAATTTAAAGTATAAAATCTTGCAAAATAACTATGAAAATGTTTTTAAATCCAGCAGAACATCTTATTTTAATCCAGTAGCAAATGAAAATGTAATTGAATCGCTGTGACAAGCTTCTCAAGTGATCCGCTCAGAAGTTTTTGCGTAACCCTTGGTGTACTTGATAAAGGGTAAAAACATTGTAACTGCAGTGATGGTAATAAACCTGCAGAAAGGTTACCAGGTTCATCCCAGCCCCCACACAGCATCAAACTCACAATTAGTATTACTGCACTTCATGCCCATAATATCTTGTTTACTGGAGTCTGTCTAAATTAATCCCTTTTCTGTTCGAGTTCCAGGAGGACTGATTAATTTGCATGTTATAATAACACGTCGACGCCTCTGCTCCAGATGTGCCTCATACACTCAAGCTCAAGCTATACTGGCAATGTATGGGCTAATGCTTTCTGCAGATCGGGTATGAGAATGGGTGTGTTTGTATGTGTGTGTGTGTGTGTCGGAGTTATTAACTGGAGGGTATACTGTCTCCTGGAGAGCTGCTGTGGTTATGTGACTGCACCGCATTACATACTGAAAGAAGAACAAAGCTTTAAAGCTGAGATCATAACAACGATTTGACTTTTCCAGTGGATTTTCCCTTTATATCATCAGTTCATTAGCAAAATTTATGATCCCAGATCACTCACTGACTCTCAGCATTGTCGCCAGTGGGCTCAGCGTCTCAGAGGCATCCCGTCCTCTGCAGCATGTACCACACCTTTGTCGTTAGGGATCTAACACATTCCTGAGACGAGTGGTGGTGTGCTATTAAAAATCAAATGCACCTAAGAGTTAATTTGGCGGTCTGAATGAATGCGAGGCATGAACAGAGAGGCCTGGCTGAGTCGTGGAGGGAGGAGCAGTGTCATGAGCCTCATTTTCCACACGGCCTTGTCAAAGAAAACAGAGGAAGTCAGGAACTCTCCAGGATCCCATTCAACAACCACTCATTTTGCATTTGTAGCATTTCACCGTCACAAATTCAATAATTCTATTGTAGAAAAAACAATTTGAATGAGGACACATTGTTTTGCCATTAAACATATCACCACATTTTCTCCAAATGGCTTCAGTTATGTTACAAAAACATTCAGAGTTGACTTTATCTTTCGCTGTCAGGCCTTTAAAAAACCTAATTTAATATAGAACGTCAGCTCGCAGGTATGTGCCAAGACAGTCGGGAAGCATATAATTTTCCCATGCAGCGCTCACTCCAGCTAAAGGAGGGAACTGAGCTGAATGAAGAGACAGAATGAAAATGGGGAAAAAAGGTCTTTGTCTTCAAGCTCCTCTCGTTCAG